GCGAGAATAAAAATAAGGACGATAATGCAAAGGGAAGCATTTAGGGTAAATGGGTTAGCTCTAAGTTGTCAGGTCTATGAAAAATTCTTTTCTCATACCTTTCCTGAAGCAACTATTTTGGATTGTCTCATATCCAGAACTTTTTCCCACAGCCTGGAAGTTTAGACTTTCAAGCATGTTTTGGTATTTCTCTGAGAAATAAAAGCTCACGTTCTAAACCTTACATTTCTACAAATTTCAAGGGTTTGCATTTTAGTTGACTTATGACTGCAGGATTTTTTACTACCTGAGATGCCACTTATGTTTTTGATTTGTTTTCTTCTTAATATTACTTGTGATTTGGATAGCTTTCTTGTCTTTAGCTATTCTGGCTATGCCTTCACCCATGCTAGGAAAAAATCATGCATTAAGTTCTCTTTAACCTTACTCTTATCACCCGCTTATTTAGTCAAGTTTTTGCATTCAATATTTGCTTTTTCCAGCCTTTCTCACTTTTCCTTGATGCTTCTTCTAGAACCCTTTCTATTCCTTTAACACCACATTGAAAAAACTCCTCAATGACCTTTTGTTTCTTTTTATTCCTCCTCAGTAAGAAATACATATTTTTTTATACTCAGAAGAGATTCTTTACTTCCCTATGTGGGAATTTGTTTTTCTGAATTATCATCTATGCCAAATAACATTAAAATATTCAGTGGTTTCAGGTGTTGCTATGACAATGCAGACCTATTGGATTTAAATCTGTGGCATGTACAGGGCAATTAGAACTCATCTTTGAGCCCAGTGAATTTGTAGGTTAGTGAGAATTTTAGAAGCTATAATAAGGGCATGCTGACACATGCCAAAGTCAGTGACATGCAGAGCATGGATATAATGTGAAATGCAGTACTGAATGTCATTCTACTATTTTGATTTAAGTCATGAAAGTTTCCTCTTTGTTTAATTTTATCATCCATGAGTTGCACAATTGGAAACTGGGAGAAAAAAAAGGTTAATATTTATTGGCTCAGGCCAAAACTAATTTCAGAAAACACTTATCTAACTCTCTGTTACATAAGAGTTGTGTGTGTCTCAAAAAACAGAGACAAATCATGCCCAGGATTAGGTTTTCATGTACATAAAAGTAAGTTTCTCATGAACATATGAGAATTTTGCTTCTTAACAAAGAAAAGATGATGATCAGTAAACAATATTAAGAATGTTGAGGCCTTCAAATCTACCCATGCTTTTCAATACTAATAATAATGATAATGATAATGATAATGATAATAATAATAATAATAATAATAGTAAATCGTCCTGAAAATATAAGCAATTTATTAAAAGCATAAGAATACAACAAGCTTCAAGAAATATAAATGTTATGGCAATGATTCATATGCATCTCAAAGAAATGCATATTTTGATACATGTAAATGTATCAAAATATTTTTAGTTATTTTTATATATATATATGGTAAAATGTGCATGTATAACCTTGTAAATAGTATAAGCAATAAGGTATTGGTAGAGGTTTATATCAGTTGTTTTACTAAGTAGCATGGGTTGGATATAGGGCTTAAATAGACAGAAAGCAAATAAATTATTTGCTTCTGCACAGGGGAATCTTCTATTTCCTTCTATTTTAAGAAATACTTTCCAGGAGCCAACAGAAAAAAATAATATGGATAAATTATATCCCCTGTGAGTATGAGGGATATGCAGGAGGTAAATCTAAAATATTGCTTAAAACCCAGAAGGAAACATTTTCTTTTGGTTCATATTTTAAATTATTTTTGTCTAATGCAATCTAGGTCAGCTTGTAAACAGAAAATACAAAATGAGGAAAAAATGTTTCTGCATTTCTGATGAGAAATATTTTAACACCTTCAAAGGAACATATTCAAGATATTTTCAAAGTTTCCCTTTTCTAGCAATAGTCCTTTCATTTTATCAGCTCAAATTCATATGGCTTTGATCTTATGAAATTTATCATTTTTCACAAATTAACCACTGATAATTAAGAAGAAAAAGCCCTTATCTGCTACGAATAGATCATCTTGCTTCATCACACATAGCAAATTGACCAATTATACTATGTAAAAACTCTTTTAAAAAGCCTTTTTGTCTTTCCTATAGTTCTGTAGTTTCTGTCTAATAATAGCAGTAGTTACCTTCTCCATCAGAGAAGTTTGTTTTTTGGGAAAGAAAAATTAATTTTATCAATAGGATTCACTCATAGATGTAAATGCCACTGTGACAGGCCATCAGTAAATCTGAAAGGAAGCAAATTCTCCATATGCTATTATAATAATAAACTTTTTCTTGGAGGGATGAGCATTACAATGTGGAGTGTTACAATGAGTTTATAGTAGAGATTAAAGGTACAGAAATATGGCGAAGAAAAATTATTATAAAGAAGCTGCATACCAAACCTAATTTATCTGAAAACATTGAGGAAATAATCTACGTGTATAGACTTTAGCATTTGCAGCAGCATGCTGCATTCTCTTTTCAGATGCAGATCAGACAGAGAATAACAATAAGAAAAGTAAATAAGAGCTGTAAAACAGATTTAGGCATTCAGTTTTACTAATAGATGGGCGTTGGTTTAAAATCTGCCTTGATGATCGTTAGTAACTCCTTGACATTTCTACCACATTATTTGATTTCCAAAGACTGCTAAGAATCTCTATTGTCTAAAAATTTTCTTCTCTGTGGTGTGGAGAAGGCTGAAATTATCAACTTTTCAAGTTGAGAAATTAATTGCCCAAGTATTCTCTTTTTAGACAGACATAAAGTTATTTATGCTAATGTACTTCATGAAAAACTGTGATGAAACTAGACTAAACAACTCTGTTATACACTGTCAAAAGTTTATTCTTCAAAGAGAGACATATTTCTTGATGGATATTCCTAAACAGATTTTAATTGTCCACCTGCTGAAAAGTTTTAGTTAGGTCTGAGGGATTTGGGTGTTATGAAACCAGAAATATTTTTGGCTTGGCTAAGACACATGGATTCAATGCAATAAATGTAGCTAAGAACACTTTTGTCTTTATGATTATGAAATGGCATCTGAAACCATGGAGAAATAAATGTTAATATTCCTGTAAAGTAGATTATAAATCACAATGATAAGCTGCTGAAAAATATGGAATAGAAGAATAAAATCATTTAACATTTATACCATTCAGTTTCCTTGTAAGTTCAAAGTAAAAACTCATTAAGGCAATGGAGTACTTTCAGAAACCTAATTTTTAAACTTTATAATTTACATAATTCAAAAAATATTCTGGAAGTTCTTTTTCTGCCGTCCTGCAGCCATCAGAAGTTCACAAATCAGCACCTGAAAAGCACTTGTGTATGTCATAAAATAATTCATGATATTTAGATTCTTCCCCAGTACAAAGAACTGCAGAACCTTCTATCAACTTCTCCCTACAATGCATCAAAAAAAAAGAAAGAAAATGCCCTAGCAGTAGCAGACATAGATATTTTTCTATTGCTCCTATCTATATGCATCCCGTGTATTTTTTTTTCATATCAGTATCTAAACTTGTGTTTTTCTCTATCTGGACACCTGCTTTTAATAGCTCCATTTTGTTTGCTTAATAATTTTTTTTTCTCTTTTGTTTTTTCTGTTTTTATTTTCTTTTCTTTTTTGTTTTTTTTTCCATTTCTTTTTTTTCCTTTCCCTGTTGAGTCAGTGACATGCAACAAACAGAAATGTTTTACAGGCGCTATCTCAGTGACTTTCTTTGCATGAAATGTGGCACCTTGGTTTTAAAATGGTAATACAGTGCTGTTCTCTGTACTTAAAAAATGCAATAGTTAAAATACTTTGAAATTCTCTTGTTCCATTGCTTGACAAAATTTATCTGGCTTTTCTGCACCAAATTCATTATACATCTAATACTTCATTATATTCTTGGATAGCTATGGCCACTTTGCTAAAGAGGGAAATACAGTGTTTTCTTCAAGCTACTCAGTCTAGATGCTTTTATTATTAACATACTTCATCTTACAAAAAGCCTTTGTTCAGGTAAAATGGATCTGGGTCCTGCTATTATGTTACTAAGTGATAAACAGATAAAAAATTTTGTCTCCCTCCCTTATGTGCTATGCAATGTCTACAAGTGAACACAATCAGAAGCTGAATTATTGTTTCCTAGTTCGGTACAGTCTTCATCCTGTCATTTTCCCTATTCAGCATGTGAGCATGTTTTCTACAAAACCTTTGCATTAGTACTTCCCTTTCAAGAGAAATCTCTGCAATACTGTGAGAAAGCACAGCTAGGAAAGTATCATAGCTCTGCATTAAGGCAGATGGAGAATCTTGAGCATAGAGGAGCGAGAAGCAGAAAGACTGACAGTAGAACAAGAATTGCTTTGAGTAAAGGTACAAAGAAGCAGTGATGTGTGTCTTAACCCTATTAGAACAGGGTTATATGAAGGTAATGAGTATTTTAGAGAACAGAAAAACCATACAATGCCCCCCAAATAATAGCAACATAACAGATTTTCTTTTCCTCTCTTCATACATGAAGCTGCTAAACATACCCAAAACATGAATGAGTCTCTCAAGGCAAAGTAATTTTAACCAGTTTCACATCATTTAAAACATTTAAGGGTTTTGTTTTCTCTTTATTTTGTTAAACATTTGTCATCAGTCACTAAGAAGATTTTCATATTAAACTCTCATTACAGAAGCATTAACAGAGCTGTGTAGATTCTCAAGTACCTATATTTCAGTATTAGTACAGTGGGATGCATTAAGTGCTAGTGCCAGAAAGCATCACTAAGCAGATAAGTTTCTATCAGTATATTCTCAAATGCTTAACATTTTTCTTTCTCTGTATCATAAAAGGCAGTCATAGAATCACACATATAATCTGGTTTTCCTTTGTTACCTTTCAAAATATGTTGATATCTACCTGCATCGTGGGTTTTGAGGCTGGGGAGTTTTTGGTGGTCGAATTCAGCGCGTTTTTTTCTCAGTGGTTGTTTTTGTCTTTTAGACTTGAATCTCCTACTAGATCTTTGGTGATGGAAGCGCCCAGGGGAGTGCAAGTCAACGCAGCTGCAGGAGACTTAAAGGCTACCTGTAGGAAAGAACTGCACTTGCAGTCCACAGAAGGGGAGGTGAGTTCAGCCAGCAATGTTCTGCATCTCTGCCTGCCATAACACAATGTGAGGAGGGTTTATTCACCAGCAAGGTAAACAACATAAAAAGTGTTCTGCATTTGCCTTTGTTAAAGTAATTTTGATTTAGCTTGTTCAACTATTAATACTTATTTCCTTTTTAACTAATATTTGAATCCGTAAGTTTCATCCACACTGAAAATAAACTTAGTTGATGCAGATCAGAATTACTTGTAAATTAAGAATCAAAGAAAAACCTTCCATGGAAACAGAGTTGGTTACATGATACTGGCAAAAAATAACTTGGATTAATCTGTCAAAATAAAACAGAGAAGTTTGGATTAATTTAGATTAATGCATCATAAACCATGAATAAGAGGTTTAACACATTTGCTCTACCTGTGGTTTAACTCCTTGATCTTTTACTAGCTCTGTAAGAGAGACAGAGTACTTCCATCATATGTTCTCTCCTGTTTCATTAGTGTCTTGTTTCAGATATCAGTGATAAGTAATTGGCATAAAAAGGCTTTGGTAAAGATTCTTCATGTGTAAACCTGTGTGAACACATGCAAATTATTCAAAATTGGGTCACTTGTTGGGATGGCAATCTATTAATTTCAGAAATGTATGAAGGATTTCTGGTATGGGAGTCCTTTCTTCTTTAGACCGTAAAATGATATAACATTTAAAATAAAAAGCAAAGATCTTGTTGAAGGCTATCAAGAGCTCTCAGATTTCTATTAGGCACTTTGGAGAAATTTATAGATTTTTGAATTGTTCTCAGAGGGGCTTGCTACAGTGCAGCATTTTTGGAAATCCATAATGTAAATATCTCACTATGAATGCAGCTCTTTAGAATTTTTTTTTTGCCTTTTGTGTTTGTGTTTTGTATTCTCTACCAAATGTTTCTAGATGTTTTGCATACTATCCAACATAAGCAAAACCAAACAAAACCAACATTTACATCTGTGGCAGATAGTCCCCTGGAATGAACACTCTGCATTAGAGTGAAGATAGGAACATTTTGGCCAAAATATTGCATCAAAAACCTATTTTGATAACATTTTTTTATTCATGTAAGTATCCATCCAGCATAATTAAAGCACTATGTTTTCCTAATTCAGAGTCTCAAATATTTATATACCACATGCCCCACCTTATTTCTGAGTTTCTACAAAATTAGCTCTTCCCCCAGTCTCTCATCCTTACTTACTGCCTTTCTTACTGTTTCCTAACATTGCTGAGATAAAATAAAAAATCTAATCCTCTTTTAATAGCAAATATTGTCCTACCTCATCATTGTCCTTTCTGTGGGTATTTTTTGAGTCTACAGCTTCCTGTAACCTGTCTTGTTTTCCCTTTCATAAATCCCTACCTGGCCATATCTATTGTGTTTCCTAAATGTATTAAGATAAATTTTACAAATAGAATGTATTTCTTTGTTCTTTCTCTTCATGATATTGCCAGAGGGGAAAAGTTAAACTTGAATAAAAATTAAAGTTAAAAAAAGAGAAGCCAACAGAAAGACTGTTACCATTCTGTACTCTCCCATTATGCTTTAGGCAATGTTTGTTTCTATATTCTCTTTGTTTTGCCTCATGCACCTCTTCATACAAATATTTAATCTGTGAACCCATCAGGTTTTTTTCTCTAGATCAACATTGCAATTTATTTGCATGACTTCTCGTTTTTCTTAAGTATTTAGTGTATCTTGTTGGAAAAGTAGTTTTGGAAACAATGTCCTGTGACCTCAGTTGTACTTTGACAATGGGAATCCAAGAAAAAATATAATGACTATATTATATATTATTCAGAACTGGAATTCAATTCACTATCAAATGTTTTGTAGTAAAAAAATGCCAGTGAAAAGCTGACTTTTCTGACCTTCTTATTAAAAATCATTATTTTATCTGTGTGATAAGACTTTGCACATCTACGATTTCATACACAGATGTTAGATTGAAAATTATCAGAAAACAAATTACCAACCTTTCTCCACTCTTTCCCAATGAAGTGTTCAATAAATATACATCTGAAAAAGTTCAAAGTCTTGAATACTTGCAATTTCAGTAAGATCTGAAATGAACTGTGGCCAAAATCCACAGAGAAATTCTATTCTGCAGTCTGACCAATGCCTCTACAGTCCACTGTTTAAGCTCTTCCACTGGAGAGGGTTAGAGGAAAATACAGAAACACCTTGGAAGGCATATGACAGGCACCAGAGCATTAGCTGTTGTGCAAAGTTACTATGGCCACGTTAGGGAATTGCTGGACTAATTACAGCCTGATGTGAGGAACCAGGGTAAACATCTGATGGATTAAACATCTACACAACAAAATATTGATTGCTTTTCCTGCTTACAGCCCAACAGATAAACCACATTAGCAGACAGTACAACAAAATGCTTAAAGGTTTTCTCATTATTCATTTTTAAGAAAACGCATTCTAAAATGACAAAATATCTGTATTAAAAATAATCATTTTAGCTTAAGAATTGAATGCCTTATGAGACAGGTTTCCTCCACAAATAAATTAGTGTTGTCTTTGTGAATTGGATCTGTGAACCATTTTCATAATATGACAATTTGTACTAGAAAGACATGCAAAGCCTTTTGTACCATTTTTATTCTAGTTAGTGAAATTTAATTTTTTAATGTTTGAAAGCTTTTTCAAAAACTCATCAAAGATATGTGAATTCATATTTTCTTTCTTGAGCAAAGTTATTGCCCTATTATGACTGTAAATGGCTATGTGGCACCTGGAATCAACCAGTTATAGCCATGTTACAGAGCATTATGCATTTACTAACTATGAAAAATAGGTTTTCCTTTTATTTAAGAATAACTTCAGAATATTTTTAAGAACATAAATGTGTTTATAAAATACTTTTCCTCTAGCTTTATTTCTATGCAGTATAATCTTTAGCCTCCACATCACAAACTGAATGCCTCTGCAAGCATCCTGAATTCTGCTGTTTGATACATTTTCTTTTTATTTACTGCAGTATTATAATAATCCTTTTAGCCCTATTACACATCATAGTGTGTGATCCCAGACTGAATACTGGTGGCTGTAATTTAGATTCAGATTCTGCTGCCCTTTCTAAAGCTCTTGAGCTGCACCCTTGTGAGCTGAAGCATCAGCAGAATCCTTTGATTCAATTATAACTTGGCATTTAATTGTGAACTATCTATTATTCTATAAATAAACCATAACCAATGGTTTAAAGCAGCAATCATTTACAAGGAACGTGAAATGTGAAGCTCCAGGCTACAGCTGAATCCACTGGTTCACATAAGAAGAAAAAGATAATTTCTTGTCTGGAAATTCAGTGCAATGACTGCTAGTTCACTACTGCTTTCTCAAATAAGAGTGTAATGCAAAAGTACAAATCAATTTTGAATTCTGTGGATACTTGATTTTACTAGACATAAAAATGTTCAAATTAAACCTGAAACACTTAATTGTATAAAGATAGCAAGCTGAAAGGTCTGTTTGATGGTGTCCACTCATTGGCCTAACAATTAATGTAATAGTCTTGACCATCCAGGATCAGAGAATAGGTCAATTTGGAAGAGGACCAAAATGGGTCATCTGCTCCCATTGCCCTGCTCAAGCAGGGTCATTCTAGAGCACATGGGATTGTGTGCAGATGGTTCCTGAATATCTCCAGTGGGGGAAAATCCACAACTTTTCTGGGCAATCTGCTATGGTGTTCAGTCACCCACACAGTAAAGTTCCTTCTCATATTTAGGTGGAAGTTTCTGTGAAAGATTTTCTGCTCATTGCCTCTTAACATGTTGCTTGGCACCACAAAAAAGATCCTGGACCCATTCTCTGAGACCCTTCATGCAGATACTCATAGATATTGATGTGGTCCCCTCCCAGATGTCTGTTCTTGAAGTTGAACAGGCCTGGCTCCCTCTGCCTTTCCTCACAAGAGAGATGCTCCATTCCCTCACTCATCTTTGTTGCCCTCCACTGGAGCTGCTCCAGGAGCTCCTTGTCTCTCTTGTCCTGAGGAGCCCAGAGCTGGGCACAGCACTCCTGATGTGGCCTCACCAGGGCTGAGTAGAGGGGCAGGATCACCTCCCTCAGCCTGCTGGCAATGTTCTTCCTAATGCCCCCAGGGCACCATTGGCCTTCTCATCCCCTGGGCACACTGCTGGCTCGTGGACAGTTTGTTGTCCACCAGGAGCCCCAGGTCCTTCCCTGTGCAGCTGGGTCCCACCAGAACCCCCTGGTCCTTCCCTTTCCAGCAGGTCAATCCCAGCCTGTGCTGGTGCATGGGGTCACTCCTCCCCAGGTGCAGGACCCTGCACTTGCCTTTGCTGAATTCCAGAACATTTCTCTCTGTCATCTCTCCAGAGACCCCTTTGCAGGGCTGCCCAGCACTCTGGGGTATTGGCTGCAGCAGTCTCTGAAGCAGAAGGCTGCTAAGTAGGCTCAGCTCTTGGGAATCTTGAGCAGCTGCTATATGTCTTTCCAAGGAGCTTCTATGCAAGTTATACTCTTTCATTGCATCCTGTTGACTGCCAAACATTAAGTCAATAAAAGGAGAAAGATGTACAGAGGCTTCTCATTTTTACAAATATATTCTTCATAATCACCTTGTCTATGACCTTTTTCCTATTTACCTCTTTATGCCCTTGTATTTCCCTGTCAAATTACACTCTATCATAGTATCATTTGTAGAGTATATATTGTTGTGTCTGGCATAATGAGGCTGATCCCTCATTATGGTAAGGCTTATAGCTGTCACATTAAAATGAGCAATATTCTTTAACAGATAAAGTTCACTCAAAATCAGTGGGGCAGACAAGAGGCCAAGTTTATATTTACTATTTTAGCAGAGCACATTTAATGAAACACACAGATAATATTATTTTGTAGAGCCTAACAAATGCATATAGTACTAACATTTGATCTATGATCCTATCCAGTTCTAATTCCAGGAGATGCATTTAACACAGAGATTATTAATTAAGATTTATTAATA